GGCAACCACTTTTCTAGCCTCTGTTTCTTGGGTTTGACTTCTTTTTTTAGATTCTACACATGAGAGATACCATAAAGTATTTGTCTTTCTCTGTCTGGCTTGTTTCATTTAGCATAATGCCCTCCAGATTCATCCATGTAATCACAAATGGCAGGATTTCCTTCTTTTTTGTGGCTGAATAACTTTTCATTCTATATATATATGCCACATTGTCTTTATCCATTCGTCTGTCAATGAACACTTAGGTTGCTTCCATGTCTTGGCTGTTGTACATAATGCTTCTATGAACATGGCAGTGCAGATATCTCTTTGAGATAATGACTTCGTTTCCTTTGGATAGATTCCCAGAAGTAGGATTACTGGATCATAGGGTAGTTCTATTTTCAGAGGAACTGCCGTACTATTTTCCATAGTGGCTGCAGCAGTTTCCATCCCCGCCAACAGTTGTACACGTTCTCCATTGTTCTTGGCAGGAGAGAGCCAGGAGCTGCTTGCCGTTCCTGGTGAGTCAGCTGGCCAGCATGGAGCACTCGTTTCACCATATTCTCCTCTTGGAGATTAAGAGCATCACGGACACCTTCTCCTCCATCCTGGGCCCTCAGAGCAGAGACATCTTCCGCATGAGCAACAGCTTCACTGCCATTGCCAAGCTCCTTATGCGACAACTGGAAACCACCAAGGCCAGAAGTGACAGGTGAGCAGGGATCCCTGGGTACCTCAGGATCTGTTGTAAACCCACTGAGACATAGCACAAAAGGCTATGTTTTCTTTTGTAAGCATAAAAGTTCCCAAAGAAAGCCAAACTCACTATCTCAACATAGAGTAACTTCTGAATAAATTATGACATTTGCCAGAATTTTTTCTAAATCTGTGAAAACCAGAATGTAACCAAAACAATCCTAAAAAAAGTGTAAAAAATACGGTAAGGGAATAAGAATGTAGTGCAAATAATAATGTTTGTAGAACTCGTTTATTTATTTAACAAGCATTTAACAGTTGCTTACTCTGTACCAGGAACCCTGCCAAAAGCTAGACATATTGAGAGATAAAACATGTTCCTTTACCCAAAGAGCTCATTGTCTAGCGAGGAGGTAAATATTGAGTGGGTAATTAGAGAACAGTGGGAAGATTATGCTGATTATGATGCTGTCAAGGAGTTTGGGGAACACAGAGATGGGGGTACCTACTTATTCATGGAATGGAGAGGAATGGGAAGCTGAGATCAGGGAATGCTTCCCAAAAGAGGTGATATTTTGAACCAAGTCTTGAAAGATGACCAGATTGTACCAGGCTGGCTTTGGGGCAGCATGTGAAAGAGCACGGCACTTTCTGGAAACAGAAGTCATTTTGTCTGGCTAGGATGTGTGTAATAAGGAGAGCGACATTAGGTAACACTGATGAAGTGGTAGGCAGGGACCAGATGATGCAGGACATGACAGACCTTCTTAAGGAGTTTGAATTTTATCCTGGAGGCTGTGAGGAATCATGGTGGGTTTTTACATGTTAGGAGATGATCAGAATCCATGTTTCAGGAAGCTCACTCTGGCCCCAGTGCAGAGAACATCTCAGGCAGAGGCAGACTGGAGTCAGGTCAAATGAAGGAAGGACAGAAAAGTGTCCACAGATATTAGCAATTAGAAAATTATTGATGATTGTAGTGAGTGAGCTGCCAGTGGTATGGCTGGACATAAGACAGGATGCCTGGGGTTGAAGGGAGAGGATAGATACAATAAACAAATCTTGTCCTTTCAAGAAGTTTGTGCAAAAAAATAAAGACCATGCAAGATTGAGGGAGGGGTTTTATTATGTTTTGCTACATTTTGAATAAGGAGGCACTTGGAAAGTGTTATGACCTTAGAAGTTACAAAGTACTTTCAAATTCATCATCTCATTTGATTCTCATGATCACCCTAAGGGGTAAGAAGGGCAATTATCATCATTCCTATTTTATAGAAGAAGAAACAAAGGCTCAGAGACTGGTTAAATCTCTTCCCAAGGTTACACAGTAACTAAGTGATAAAAGATGGACTCAAATTTCAGATCCTATGCACTGGAAGGTATTCATTTATGGAGAAGGGGCAGGGCACATTTGAGACTAGCATCAGACTTTGTGAGTTTTGGGGCTAACAAATGATGCATATCATTTTCAGTCTGAAACAGCATTCCAAAAACACGAGAAGCCATCCTTACAAAATAGTGAACATTTAGTCACAAGGGTCCACTTTATGTCCAGCATGGCACAGAGCCTGGAGGTCCCAAGAGATATAAAACAAAACGTAAGACATAAAACACCGTTCCTCAAAGGTTTCACAGTCAGTGCATGTGATGGGGTTAATGGAAGTGCGTATAGCAGGCATGAGAGACATACAGCCAGGGAAACGAAGAATGTTTCACGAAGAAGGTGAAATTTAAGTTCATTCCACGTTTATTGAGTAGCTTCCATGTGCCAGGCATCTGCGTAGGTACCAGATTAAGTTGGGCAGTATGAATGAAAGTTCCCCAGATAAGCATTGAAAGGATACTCCAAACAGAAAGGACACTCCTCACATGCAAAGATAAAAGAGCTTAAGAGTGTGTGACCCAGACTAACGAAAAGCAACTCGTTCATCGTGGCTGGAGTGAATACATCAGTGGAGGGTGGGAGAGTGAACTGAAAAGTTAGGTCAAAGGCAGATTCTCAGAGAAGCAAGGAGTTTGTCCTGTAAGCGACATGGCGGCTTGGAAAGATTTTAATCCCGGGAATGAACACTGCTCCTAGCACAGTAATCAGCAGATAGCGAGCACTCAGTAAATATTTCTTCACTAAAGGACTAGGTGGATGAGGAAGTGGCTGGCGTGCTGGAGCCCTGAATGGATCTGGCTGGAGCTGCAGGCTGGCAAGAGAGAGAGTGGCCAGGGTGCTATTACTGCGGGCTTAGCAGCAGGCTCCCTCCATGGTGTGCGAGGCCTGGGCTAAATCAGAGGTGGGGAACCTAAGAAGTCAGGACAGATCTTTATAGTGAGAGAGCTTGGAATTAGGAAGAATCGATTATTGGTGAGAGGTGGGGTAAGGAGAAGGGGAGGAGAGTGAATGAAAACCCAAAGATATCTATCTTGAGTGACCACATACATATGGAAGAGGATGCTGAAAACCGAGCAAAGACGTAGCAGGAGGGGAGCCCATCTGGAGGACCTCTTGTACCACTCCACACAGAGAATATTTTATGCCCAAGATGGTCATCAAAGTCAACAATAGCTATTCATCTGAGGAAGCCAGATAGCAAGTGCCCTTTTCTCTCAACACCATAGTTTTGATTGAGCATATAAAAATCTGTTGCTGCCTGGTTCAATGTCTAGTATAGATGCCTATAATACCAGGGTTTCTAATTTTGGTGCTCTTGACATTTGGGCTAGATAATTCTTGGTTGTGGAGCTGTTCTGTGCATTCTACAGTACTTACGAGCTTCCCCAGCCTCTGCCCACCAGATGCCAGTAGCAACCCTCCCCCTCAGCTGTGACAACCAAAAATGTCTCCAGACGCTGCTAAATGTCCCCTTAGAGACAAAAATCACCCGCAGTTGAGAACCACTGCTATTTACGTATTCCATTTAAAAGCAGCATTTACACAGACCCCATGACCTGCCTAGCAGCAGCCTACACATGGCAGCATCCAAAAAATCCAAAGCCAGCATCATGAAGGGATGATTTGTCATCTGTGTGCAAGCACAAAGTCACTGTTGGCCAATTTTCATGATGTGGGGAACTTCAGTTTAGAGCTTCTACAGGTGGTGTTCGGGGGAGCCACCTTACATTCTGTGCTCAGCTAGCCTGCTCATTTCTTCTTCCAGTGGTGACCGGTGTGTGCGTCAGATGTGAAAGCTCAGGCGCGTATTCTGGCCAGCAGTCTATCCATTCTTTCTTGCCTCTACACAGGCAAAGTTTCAAGAGGCCAGTTGACTCTCCATGAGATTATATGTGTGAAAAAGGGTTTGTATAAAGGAGAAACATGTTATACAAGGGTGTCACATTAGGCATTCTGACAGGAAAAATGATTCTTAATAAGCAGGCCCAGTCCAAGTAGCAATAAACAACTTCCACATGAAAAGAAGAATTTAGGAGATATGTAGACAGGAGAAAAAAATGAGGTCTCACTGTCAAAATATGAGTCTGCATTAGGAAAATGCATTTCTCCGTTTATTATTTTTCTGAGGGGAAAAAACAAAGAAAAAATTAAATGTGAAGAGATGAAAGGTCACCACTCCCTTCACATACACCACCACCACCACCATTGCCACCACCTCAGCCTCTCTCAGTTCAAAATACTTCACCCGTTTCAACCCTCTCTGTCAGTCTCCTTCTAATCGATTGTAAGTATTCGGTGGGAATCTCAAAAAGGCTGGTGTGGACAGCCAGGCTTTTGTATTAGCTGCTCATCCTCTCTAGGATGGTTGCTAGGCTTCTCTCCCCACATCTTTTCTCTGAATAGCCTTCATTGTGACCATTTAGCTTCAGTAATTTTAATCTGTGCCCCACAAAGCAGAAAGGTCCACACTTTTGTCTAAAGCATCCAGCAAAGTCTGATCCTTACAACTGAAGGGGAAATGAATAAGGGAAGAGAGCTCAAAAGAAAATTAAAGATGGATTAAATTCAAAACAGATGTCATCTAATTTACAAATCTGACACATAGCCCAGCAGGCCAGATTTTAGACTTCAGGCCAAAATTACAAGACTATCAAAAGAAAAACAATTAGCATCCTAGAGAGAATGAAAAACTGGAGGAGACGGGAGCCTCCTTTGCACCAAATGACTGAATTAATCGGGTGATTTTTTATTTGATGCACCAGGTAAGCACACTTGCACTTTTCTTGTTCCTGTATTTCAGGATGAATGTTTTTATCTAAATAATAAACCACCGGAGGCTGACTAACAGGACAGCCATGCAAAACATTTAGATTTTGAAATTAATTCTGGAGAAGCAAAAGAAAGATAACGGCAATTGTGGATTAAAAAAGGGAGGGTGGTGCTTGCTTTGGCAGCACATATGCTAAAGTTGGAACGATACAGAGAAGGTTAGTATGGTCCCTACTCAAGGATGACATGCAAATTCGTGAAGCGTTCTCTATTTTTCTTACGGTTACCAAGGGGGAAGGGGTGGGAGGGAAAAACTGGGAGATTGGGACTGACATATATGCACTACTATATGTAAAATAGATAACTGATAAGAACCTGCTGTATAGCACAGGGAGCTCTAGTCAATACTCTGTAATGACCTATATGGGAAAAGAATCTAAAAAAGAGTGGATATATGTATGTGTATAACTGATTCACTTTGCTGTACAGCAGAAACTAACACAACATTGTAAATCAACTGTATTGCAATAAAAATTAATTCAAACATTTTTAAAAATAAAAAAGAGAGGGTGTCAAGATAGGAGAAAAGCTCTATACCTTTCACAACTGTATGAGCCCTAAGTAGCCTGCTGGGTGGCCACTAACCATTGAACCATTTGCTTGCTGGGACCCATGGGAAGCTGGGGAAAGAGAGGGTGGCTCCTGGCAGCTGTGTGCTGGCTGAGCAGTCAGTGATCCTTGGACTAGAAGACGCCTTTGCCAATGCTTGTGGTGCCAGGGACCACAGAATTGGGGACAGTTTGTCACTGGTGGTCTTAGTAGGAGGTTAGGCTTGGCCCCAACTAGGGATGGAAGGTTTGAGGGATGGAAATTGTGAAAAGAAAGCAGGGGTGGGGGGGTAAATAGGAGAAATGAGAAAAAGGTAGGGAGAAAGAGGGGCCAGGAAGAAGGCACAAGGGGAAAGCAGAGGGAAAGGAGAAAGGGCACCTGACACAGCCCTAAGTCCCAGGCCTGGGGGGGGGGGGGTGGGTAACAGTTCCCTCAGATCCAGCTTTCACACCCTAGCCAAAGCCATCAAAGTCATGGGGGAGAAAGTTACCTTTAAGAAAAGTTTTAACACAAAGCATTAACCTCTGGCTTGATTAAATGGGTGTATGTTCTTTGGTTGTTTTGGTGGTGATGGTGATAGTAGTGATGAGACTGTGTTTATTCTTTGTTTTTAAGAATCAGGTGGGAGGTGAGGGGTAGGCAATGGAAGGTAAAATATAGTCAAAACCTATTCGGTAGGTTTAAATCTGATTTCGGGATACAGGTATCCCTCACTTTTCAAAAGTTCACTTTACGCTCCTTTGCTTTGAGGGAAGACCTACATTAGTACAGTCGTCTTGATTCCAGGACCCCTCGGATACCAAAAGCCATCAATCCATCGATCCTCGAGTCCCTTTTATAAAATGGTGTAGCGCAGTTGGCCCCTGTATAGGCTAGTTCCACATCCTCAGTTTCAACCAATGGCAGATCAAAATTCAGAATTCATTCTGTGGTTGGTTGAATCTGAGGGTGTGGAAGGGGGGATATGGAGGGCCAATTGTATCTGTTTTTGCTAACAGAAAGAAATCCAAAGAGGATTTTCACTTTTACAAAAAAAAGGTAATTGCTTCTTCACCTTATACCCATTTCAGCTTAGGAAAGGCTTCATAGGAATGCTCAGATAGCGGGGGAAACCTGTAAATGGAAAGCAGTGACACAGTGGAGGGAAGGAAATGAAACAACAGTATGTGGGAGAGAATGAAGGGAAGATAGAATAAGGAGATTATGTTCACAAGGAAAGGACTCCAGGACATCTCCCCTCCTTGGAGTCACCCCAGAGTTTTGTTTTATTCTAAATTTCATGCATTGAACATCAAAGAAGTGGATGACAGGGTGGGACAGGGGATTTGAGTCAATGTGTGTCTGGAATGTATAGCAAAGCAACATGGACTGCAGAGACCCTTTTCCAACTGTGAGACCCTTTGCAACCTGTCATTCCAGAGTTCCCATCTTGACATCTGGGAATCACATCAGAACCCAACCCTGGTGTGATACACAGTCTCTGAAGGCACAGCCCGAGAGTTTAGGAGTGATGGCTCTTTACCGAGTCCACAGCCAAACTGCAGAGAGCAGGGAGCCAGGTTCTTCTCTCCAGCTTTTCAGAGAAGGCCATGTTTCTGAGTCTGATCAAGCTTTTAACCAGCTCCTACCATGTGATGGGTTCAGCTCTGGGAGCTTTTACTATGTTATATTGTTACATCGTCACAACAACAACATCTTTTAATATATATTAGGGTTACAGAGGCTTCATACTAAAGCATAGTGGAGAAAACTTTGTGGATGGGCAAGAACAAAGTAAAATTCTGGGTTTTTTTTTGGATGCGTTGAGTCTTCCTTGCTGTGTGCAGGCTTTCTCTAGTTGCGTCGAGCGGGGGCTACTCTTCGTTGCGGTGCTCCGGCTTCTCATCGCAGTGGCTTCTCTTGTTGCAGAGCACGGGCTCTAGGCGCATGGGCTCAGTAGTTGTGGCTTGCGGGCTCTAGAGCACAGGCTCAGTAGTTGTGGAGCACGGGCTTAGTTGCCCCACGACACGTGGGATCTTCCCGGACCAGGGTTCGATCGAACCCGTGTCCCCTGCATTGGCAGGTGGATTCTTAACCACTATGCCACCAGGGAAGTCCCCAAAGTAAAATTCTTTACCCAGCCCCTACTCATCTCTAGGTTCATGGTAGTTCTTCGAGGGGCAATAGTGTAAATGCCCAGACATCAGCTCACAGAGTTTTCTTTCATTTCTTCCTTTAGTGTAGTCCAGTGTATCTCAAATTGTAGTGTGTACAAGATTTACAGTGTTCACAGTACTTCATTAATAAAGGAATTTTAAAGGAATGTCAGGGGTGACTTGCCTGTTCCTCCCCAAAGTGATACCACACTAACCTTTATTATTACCTCCTATCAATAGAACGCCTTGTTTGTGCCTCTCTTCCCACTGAAGGCTGCTCTTATCCAGGACTCCAGTTTGGTATCCCTTCCCCAGGAGGTCTTCCCCACCCACCCATGCCCATGGTGACCTTCTCTCTTTTGCCCTGCTACAGCTCACATTGCCTCTCCACTCCTCCACACCTGAAGTCCTGCACTGAAGTGCTAGGCATCTTTCTGTTTACCCTCCAGTCTCCCCCAAACTTGACAGAGCTAATATTCAGAGCCTATGCACTGTGGAAGGAAAATAGAGTCTTAAAAGTGCTTACAAGAGCTCCCACTTTTTTAGGCAAGACATGTTTATACAAAGAGAAATTGATTCTTTGAGAGCAACTGTTGGCTCGAAAAATGCACATAAGGAGGTTCAGGACCATAATTAAAAACATGTGATGTTCTGGTCAGTGTTGCCCCCTGCTTAGGAAAAGCTGAATGCAATTTCACCCCACCAAGGTAACCAGAGTTTTCATAAAAAACATGTATATGTTTTCAATCTAGGGAGGTCTAGGGTGGTCACTTGTATAAAAAGAAAATTGGAACAACCATTTGTGGCAGTAGCTGTGGTTCTTGTTACTCCTCCATGTGTAGGGAAGGAAGGGCTTCGGTTTTTTGCCCCTCTTCTTACTGAAGAAGTTAAGTCTGTCATGTGGTACCATTTACGTTCCATCTGCTGTTCATTTACTTCCACCATTTGTCCTTCCTTAAAGCAGCATTTATGGTGATGTGAAGGTCTGGAAAGGTATTTCAGGAATTCATTTATCAGCAAGAGAGGTAGGTGGGAGACAGCATTACCAGCTTTGGAGCCCATGAAGCAGCCCCAGGGAGCACAAGGCCGCAGAGGGGCTGGCTCTGCCAGTGTGGACAGCCCTGCCCGGAGTGTGAGCGGCACAGTCACACCTTTGCCGGGGGGACCAGGCCCCTTTCCTGTAACACAGCTGTGTTCAAAACACGGGACACACAAGAGAAAATAGCTTTTCATCAGGCTTCTGTGGTTTGGCTTTCCCTTCAAAACAAGACAGGGAACAGCAGAGCATTAGTCTGGAGGAAAGGAAAACCTGTGCTGTGGGAGGAGAGGTGAGAGGGACTTGACCCTAGACGGCCCCTTGTGGGAAGGGTGACCGCTGAGGATAAAACAGTTCTACTTGGGCTTCCCTGGTGGCGCAGTGGTTGGGAGTCCGCCTGCCGATGCAGGGGACACAGGTTCGTGCCCTGGTCCGGGAAGATCCCACGTGCCGCGGAGCGGCTGGGCCCGTGAGCCATGGCCGCTGAGCCTGTGCGTCCGGAGCCTGTGCTCCGCAACGGGAGAGGCCACGACAGTGAGAGGCCCGCGTACCGCAAAAAAACCCAAACAAACAAAAAGAAAAACAGTTCTACTTGACCCTGATGACCCAGCTGTTTGCTATTTTCATTCCCCAAAAGCTCCCTGTTCCTTTTTGGTATCCATCATAATTGAACTCTGAAGTTGCTATTTGCATGCTGTTTCCTGAGTTTTGAACACCTTTCAGTTTTTGTTAAAGGGGACACCAGAATTTATTTTTCAGACCTCTGTGAAGGGTTGCTCAGCGATTATATGTCAACTCTGTTCTGGTGTGTTCCCACAGGATGTTACTCGGCGGCATTAGCATATAATAATTCTTGTTCGTTACTGTGCTATCACCAGTCCCAAAATATGTATTGCTTCTTCCTGTGGTAGAGTCAAAGGCAAACTGAAGGAAACACCTACTGAGAGGCAGGGGGAGGAGGGTATGAAGCGGGTGAACCCTGGAGGTGGATACTTGAGTTTAATGCTGGGTTTACTAGTTGATCTTCAGTAAATTAGTCGACGTCTCTGTGTCTCAGCTACTCCATCTGTGAAATGGAGATGGCAAAGGGCCTGCTTCACTAGTAGAATGGGCAGACCGGATGAGGGGATGTATCAAAAAGGATAACTTAACCATTGCCCTGCTCTTCCAGTATTAAACGATGGTGAGTGACAACGTCTTACCTTTTTCCCTCTTCAGGCCCAGTGGTTGCATTTCATGGCAGATACCCTCCCCTTAATCCTCATGGCCAGCCCCCATTACCTGCTCACGTTCCCAGAAAAAAAGTTAGCCTAGAAAAGGAGGAGCGTGTTGACTCTACAATTCTCACTCCTGATTCAGAGTGTTCTGATGACATTACTATGTTACATTTTTGTACTCTCTTATAATTTTCAAAGTGCTTTTGTAACTTGTGCCACATCCAGATGACAATTTATTAGGACCTGTCAGCCTTCTGGTAAGGCTGCCGCTCACCAGGT